ACCCGACAAATCCCCTTACGAAGGGACTGAGTAGGGTTAAGTACTTGTAGCAAGCTAGGAGCATTGGGCTAAAGGACGATATTAGTTTTAGTGATTAGATAGCTTTTAGAAACTTGTAATAGAAAATTGTAATTAACATTTGATGATTAAATAAAGGTGCTTTATTTATACGTAAAGTTACTGTCTTGTGTTAATTATTTACTATTGTTTCCCTTTGCATGTTTTGACTTCCTAAATAATAAGATTATTTAAACTATCCACAGCCGATCATACATTGGAAGTAGGTATGAATGAAGACTGTCATGAATTGGCTTGTAGATTGTCTAAGTGTTTAGACATAGCAAAACTTTTCTGCAAAGTTCATGAGTGCTTATGAAATAAGATTTGAGTATTGGATTAAACCCGCGCTCACTTGAATCACTTCATGGAATTAATCACGAGTGATTGTGAGACGATAATATCATATAGTATTTAAATGTAGATATATGGTTTATTGTTTGCAAGTTGGTTGTGCATTGATAATGCGTAAACGCATCAGTAACTTGATGTTATAAAACACATTGTTGTGTATGATTTGACGAGTAAATAGTAAAAGCATATAAGTCAAAGTTTATCTGTTCCTTTTATCCTATGAGGGTAAAAGCGATATCTTGGGCCCCTCAATGATTTGGTTTGACTTATGTGTCGGGCCCGGTCAGGACTGAATTGATGTGTTCAATTAAGTTCTATGTCAGACAGATCAGAGATCGAGAAACAAACTGCTGGACAATAAGTATGACTATGTTCCATGTAATTGTCCACACGATATCTTGAGAATGGAGGACTATACGATCCCTTATCTAAGGGACGTGTCAGAGTTTGACAACGGCTTTTGAGAGCTACGATTGCTAATCGGATTTTAAAGTCGTACTTGCATTTATAGTTATTAGACTTATCCAAGTGGGAGACTGTTGGATTAGTGTCTAAGTCCATAACTATATTTGGTATGTACTTGACCCGGTTGTAGCATGGTCCTTTTCGGTTGCCTTCACCGGAGCAACTTGACTGGATGAATAATAGAGAAAGAGGTTATTATGGTTTATTAATATATTATATGAATAATATATTAAAGGAGAAATCATATTGGTTAATTAATATTGGTCAAAGAATTAATTAAGAATTAATTTTGTGATCAAAAGATATTAATTGAACATAGGGGACTGGAATTGCAATTATAAGATAATTGAATTTTGGGGTGTGGATCCCTTAGAAGGAGATGGACGAAATCAAGAGGGAAGCCCACATTGAATTCGTCCAAGGCCTTGCTTCTGGAAGGATCTTTAGACTGCTTAAGGCCTAAGCAATCCAATTAGGGTTTTGACTGAAACCCTAGTAGCTCACCTATATACGGAACCCCTTGGCTTGTATTTTTCGGCTACCACAAACCTAAGAAGAGTTCATAGAGCCGAAATTCACCTCCCCTCTCTCTCTCTCTCTTGCATTCTCCAATTGCTTTGGTTTTTGTGATCTATTAGAGGCACAACATTTGAGGTGCTAAGATTCTCAAAAGCTCAAGATCTTCAAGCTACAATCAAGGTAACATTCTTACTAGTTTATTTATGTTGATTTCAAGTTTTCTTGTATGCTAGATTAGGGTTTGCAAGTCTTGGACAATTATTGCATGTACAAATAGATAAACTAGATCCAAGCATTAGGGTTTGCATGAACACCATAGGAATGTTGTTTTGCTCATAACCCATCAAAAACGTCATTGTAACACATTAAAGTTTATGTATTTTTCCGATTTGGTCACTAAAGTAATTTTTGTGCACAATAGACCATTAAACTCATATTTTACCTATCAATTAAACAATTTATCTTGATTTTAAAAGGTTTACCGGTTATCATGTCTACATTATTCACTTGAAGGTCAATCAGTCCAACAACCCTATTAATTGAAACCCAAATTTGGACCATTATTCACTTGTTTCTTACCCATTCGTGTAAACTCAAATTTGTCTTCCTCCGACTATTTCCATCTTCAAGAACAATGATATCTAGATTTTTTATTACAAGGAATCAGTTCCAAGTTACTCATATCCAGGTTCAAGATATTGTGAATATATGTGATTGCGATGTTCCAGCTAAAGAACAAACCTGTTGGAAACTGACTAATCATGGGAGGCATTTTTGGAATTCTCGAAACAGTATGGTAAGCCCCGATCATGCTACATTTGTTAAAGCAAGAAATTTTAGGGTTTTAATTTTGTATTTCACTGTCAAAAACCTTTGTATTTTGGAAAAAAAAACCTAACTTTATATTTCGTTGATATTGTCTACTGATTTTGGTTTGCTTTCTGGTAGTTGTTAATGATTACATACGCTTTTTTATTATGTTACATGTTGCTGATTCCGTAAGCATTTTTTGATTATTTGAATATGTTACATCTTTGTGAAATCATATGCATTATTGTAGTAGTTAAGAGTGCAAAAGTGCATTTGGTGATTAGATTTGATTTTGATTCTATTGGTTGAAGTTGTCTTAATGTGGATTGCTTACAAACTAGGCTGAAGAAATATGGGTATTTTGAATGGAAATATGAAGAACATGAAGAAGGGTACCATAAAAACATTGTTTATTCTCTAAAGCATAAACTGGATGCTAAAGAGGATCTTTCTATGATTAACAACTTGAGGACAAGGATTGTTGAATTGGAGTTTCTCCTGTCTAAGGAGAAGAGTATGGTGGAAACAGTGAGAAATGAATGTTTCTATAATGAGAAAAGTGCATGTTTTTATATATTACTTTGAAGTGCATGTTTTTATATTCGAAACATTAGTACATAGTGGACCATGTGTTAATACATAGTGTTTGTACAGTAAAATAGTTTGTGCATCAAATGCTTAAAATAAATGATAATTGTGGACCATTTTCACTTACTTCAAAATATTTTGGTCCATATTGCACATCCGGGACCATGTTAATCACTCACATGCATGCATATATTACTACTATTTCATGCAGAATATTATCCAACCAAATTTCATAAATAGGCAACTTACTATTATAAAGACCAAACAACAATTTTGATATCATCCTAATTAACAAACATAAATATGCAACCTAGTTTCATAAAGACCAAAAAACAATTTTACTATCATTGTAATTAACAAACATAAATAGGCAACCTATTTTCATAAAGACCAAACAACAATTTTACCATCATTTATAATTAACAAACATAAATCCAAACAACAATTTTACCATCATCCTAATTAACAAACATAAATCCAAACAACAATCCAAACTATACTAATCAATTACAAGAGCTTTTCCCTTAGAATTTCTTGGAGCATTATCACCGATTTCAACTTCAAGATTCTTTATGAGTTTCTTTTCCTTATCCTCTTCAAAATCTCAACATTTTGTCTTACTCTAATCTTCTCCTGAAATTGGAAATTAACAACATCATCCTCAACATGGACATTAGCAACACCATCTTTACCTTTAGGTTGAGTAAGTTGCACATCACCAAACTCCTTTTCTATTTCTGCACCACTAGATTAAACATCATTTAGGATAAGTTGCACATCATTTTGAGTAATTTTCACCTTAACTGGAGTGAGTTACACCTCCTCCTGTTGTTGACCTTCATTTCCTTTGACCTACATATCATCATTATTTAATGTTAGTGGCAAATCTGATGTAACTACATTAAAAGATTTCAAATGGTATTACATGTCTTGCATCTTGCATCTTGGCTTACTCCAACTCTCTTTTTTTCTTTCTCCTCACATGCAAGACATGTAATACCATTTGAAATCTTTTAACTACCATTTGAAAAAAAGAGAGTTGGAGTAATACCATTTGAAATCTTTTAATATACTTGTCCAGAGGGAGTAAGCCAAGATGCAAGACATGTAATACCATTTGAAATACCATTTGAAATCTTTTAACTACCATTACATGTCTTGCATCTTGGCTTACTTCCAAATCACAAAAGTCAACTTGCCAAGATGCAAGACATGTAATACTATTTGAAATCTTTTAATGTACTTGTCCAGGGGGAGGAAGACCCCTAAAAGATTTCAAATGGTATTACATGTCTTAAATCTTTTAACTACATTAAAAGAGTAAGTCTGAGTACGCAGCAGCTGTTGACTTTCGTTGACTTTTGTGATTTGGGCTATATTTAGACTATTAGGTTTTTGGGCCTTGTTGGGCCACTAGTCTTTCTGACTTTGGGCCATTGTCAGGCTATGAGCCTTCTTCGATTTGGGCTCATAATAGGCTTTGGGTATCATTTAGGAATTTGGGTCATATTGGGCTTTTGGTGCCATTAGGAGGGGCCTTGGTTTTACACTGGTAGCATTTCATTGGCTCAAGTACTTGCTCCGGTCCAGCTTAATTTGTGGCCGACTGGGAGATGCTTCTTGATTCAGCTACAAATTCATTGTACTTTGATCCGACCTCATATTTATTAAAATGGTACACTACTTCACCGTGTCAGGTGACAAAAGGTAACACATTCATTTGATTTTTTTTAATCAGAAACGAAAGTAATTTAAAGTTCATGATGATTACAATTTGTTGATTACAAAGTAGCAACATTAAATTAATATGCTAAATGAAAACACTATAAATTGATTAAAAAAATATATATTGAAATTTTGATTAACACTCTATGCAATAATATACGAGTTTGAATGATGGTGTAATACCTGATAAAAGAAATCTGAATAAAAAAACTTTAGGCTATTGAAACCCCATCCACTTGGACAAACAGAGTGGTGCAATCCTTGTGAATAAACAATGAAACACTAAGTTTCAAATATTTTCTCAGCCAGATACAACAATTACGTTGGAATGTTCATATATTCCAAGAGCTCTGATACCAAGGCCAGAGTTGGTATTTGGGCATAAACCAGGTTAGGTTGTGCTCTGATACCAAGTGTAAATAAACAACTTCTTGATGCTGTAGCAAAATCAGGAAAAAAAAACAGAGTATGAAACAAAGGAGAAAGAAAACAGGGGAGCTTTTGGGGGCAAAATTTTCTACTGTGTTTATTCAAAGTTTTCCACCTGATCTGAATGGTCGAATAAAGGATTAATACAAAGAAAGCTACAAACCTATAAACAAAGCAGTAAGACTTTGTTGGAACATGTTTGTCCTAAGGTCGCCATAGAATGTCAATAAAAGATTTTGAATCATATTTTATCGTAAACGGCGGTCTATAATCGAGTTCGTCATCCCAAATTTCTGAGGTGTCTGTTGTTTGCATCTCACCACCTTTGCTTTTCCTAGGAACAAGCTCAGCTCCAACATAACTTTCTCGGTTTGTGGAAACTGAAATCATATTGTAAGATGAATTTGAAAATGCGGTGTGTCTCAATGAACCAAAGGAAACATATCCTACATATGTTTTTGTTCCCTCATACTCAGGCTCTGTTGCTTCATTAGACTCATGCACATACCCAAATACAGAATCTTCATCTACCTCCTGCTTCATTATTATATTAATATCCGGTCCTTTTATTTTGGTGACAAGGCATACTAAGAACCCGCAAAAGTTGTACAAATCATCTGGAAGATGTAGCGTAAGTGTTGTCCCCCTAAACAGCCTACCCACAAACACCTTTGGAATCTGATGTTGAAGACTGATATTGATAAAGTGATCTTCAATAGCATTTCCCTGCCATGGAATACACATGCATTATTATTCTTATGTTTTGGGTCTATATGATAAAGAATAAAGATTGAAACTGCAAAGGTATGTACAGCCAAACCTGGAGCATGGAGTCTAGTAATAAGTCACCATCACAAAGTTTGTTCTCCCCCTTAAGTGAGACATGCCACAACCATTTGCAGTCTGAAATAAGTATAATACTTTCAAGTGATGTACAACCATCCGCTATAACAACAGCTATACTTGATGGCAGCTTTGACAATTCTACAAGTCCTTTGCAATAAGACACGTTGAGTAATTTGAGCCGAGGAAGTTGAAAGAGACTAAAATTTAAATGTGAAAAACTATTTTCGCTTAGATTAAGTTCTTGCAAGTTGGGTAACTCACAAACAGCAGAGCTAATTTCTTCATCTCCCAAATTACAGTAGCCAAGATTCAAATTTCTCAAATCCTTGGGAAAAAACCTCAACCCTATGTGTTTCATGTTGTTGTCACGTAAACAAGGCTTCATGTTGTTGTGAGGTAAAGAAGGCTCCTCTACACAACATTCTACACCAGGAAGATTGCTGCAACCACACCTCCAACAAATAACAAAAAATAAGTTTGGACAAGATTCTATGTAGGATGCAACTTCATTCCCACTGTCATCCAAATGAAGATCTGAGAGCTTAAAAAGTTCAGGGCAGTCAAAGAATGTAAGGGTCTCGAGTTTCTTTACTCGGGTAATTGGTGGAAACATCTTAAGTCTCCAACAACTTCCAACAGATAAGAAAACAAGCCTCTCCAAACATCCAACCGATTGATGAATCTCTTCTAAATATGAACATCCAGCAAGCTTGAATGTTTCAAGATTTGGAAGTCCCTCAAAATCTGGTGTCATGATTAGGTTATCTAAATCCCAAAGTTCAATTGTCTTCAAATTTGGCAGCAACTGTTGCATACAAGTGGAAACAGATCAAATATATATATATATATATATATATATATATATATATATATATATATATATAATTAGAGCATAGAATGCGTCTCAGTTGCACACTATTTTATAAAATTAGACAAAAAGAACATCCGTAGATGGTAATCATTTTAGGTGTACGTTTAATTACAATTTTAAAATCACTTAACAAAAAAAATAATAGAAGATTTTTTGATGCATATCAATGTTTTATATTGGTTACTAAACACCAAAAAAACAGATTTAGATTAAAATCTTACCCAGACAACGACATGCTTTTTATTTTATTTAAAAAAAAAACAGCAAGATTTTTTGTATTTATGTTAAGCAAAAGGGTATCTACATGGAGGATGAGATTTACGTAAATACAACGGGTTACAGTGACTAATGTGTCAATATCATATCAAACAAGTTATATTTCACCAAGTTTATCGATAATACCACAAAGTAGATTTACAAATTGAAGGTTCATTTAATACTATAACTAGTTGAAAAAATATAACTGAAGTTGCTTAATGACACCAACAATTAGTCAGGCTGAACATTCATCATCCACTTCGTTTTCAGCTCTTAATTAGATAGAGAATAAGAATTACCTTATAACCCTCCCAAAGTTGTTTCTGCAAGCTGTTATATAATACTAGATGACGAAGTGTTCTTTGTGGAAAGTTGCTAAGCAATGGACTTGCAAGATCACCTTCCCATTCAATCCACCTAAGGTTCTTCGTGTTTGCAACAATCGCAGGAAGATGTTTATACCTTTGTAACTGACCCTTAGTACCGAATTCAAGTCTTATTGCTTCAATCATGTCTAGTTCCTGTGATAGAGGAACAAAATTGTGTCAGGGTTGGGTTACAAGTGATTGTTTATACATGCATAATATATCATGAAAAACTAGCTTAACCATTACCGTTGTTGCATCCATAGAGCATATTTTCCAAACATCTTCCCTCTTCCAAACTCTACTATGCTTTTCAGGATTGTTAGGGTATTCCCCTCTAACAATGTAGTGTCCCATTTCTTGCACCAGATCATGCATATCAAACCTTTCATTTGAAATGGTTATGAGAGCCTTTTGTATCAACACCTTCACTCCTATAACAGGATGAAAACCACAAGCATCAAGACTCTTCATTGCACCATCTTCGGGATACCCCCTAAAAAAACATGCAATATCTAGGAACAGCTCTTTCTCAATTGCTTTAAGTCCATCAAAGCTGATTTTTAGCTTTCCAACAATATCAGTATCTGGGATCTCCTTCAATCTCACTAATGTACTCTTCCACTCATTAATGTCTTTGTCACACAGAAATGAACCTAAAACTGTAAGTGCTAATGGAAGCCCACCAGCATAAGAGACCACCTTTCTTGAAAGATGCTCATAATCTTTTATAGGCCTGTTATCCCGGGGTGCATGCTTGCAAAAGAGCTTAATGGCCTCATCACCGCTTAACAAGCTAATATTGTGTATGACGTTTACTTTGTGGGCAGTTAATAAGTGCTTATCTCGGGTTGTGATTATTATTCGGCTTCCTTCACCAAACCAATCATGTGATCCAGCTAATGCTTTTAGTTGGCCAAGGTGATCAACATCATCAAGAACAATCAAGACCTTTCTATGGCGAAACCTATTATTTATCAAGCATCTTCCTCCTCCAACTCTGTTTACTTCCATTTCTGAAAGAATTTTTTCTTTCAATTTTCCCAAACCATGTCTGCCTGATTCCTCTCGAATATTTTCTACAAAGCAGAAGCTTTCAAACTCGGTAAAAATTTCATTGTAGATAGAATATGCAAGAGTAGTCTTACCACCACCCCCAACACCCCATATTCCAACCATTCGAACACCACCTGACCCAATTTCTAACTCCAATTTCAAACCTTGCAAGCGAGCTACCATTCCGATCAGGTTCTCATCTAAACTTGAAGTTACTGGCTGCAACCTCTGTGAAATCTCCAATACAATTTGTTTGATGCCTTTTGCTTCATGCCTACACATTGGATATACAAGCATAATTAACATATGATCACACTCACAAAAGATCATGTTCCATGAAAAAAAGAAATTTCACACAGAGTCCTAATTACCCTTTATATTTCCTATCCAAAAAAAATTTGTAAAGTCAATATCACAAGTAGTTTGTAACAATTTTCTTGGGATAACTTTTTACTTGCCTGGTAACATCTACTGAAAGTATCTCATAACCTTGTACAGGTTTATATTCGGCTCTGATCAAGTGATCAGTCAAAGCCTCACTGTTTATAAAGGTGGTCAGCTTCATCAAGAATAATTACAACACTTGTATAAAAAGCTTATAAGGTACAAATATAAAAAAACTGCATTGTAGAGCACACGTATCTTAAGCATAATGATGCAAAAACATAGAAGAAATTACCTGTTCGCAATGTGTTGGGATTCCCATCCAGAAATGTTACTTGCATCCACAAGTGCTTTTCTCCAAGATTCAACATTGCTCTTGTTCTCCAACTCATGTTTGGCAAATGCTTCTCCGTATTTCCGTTTTTGTTTTCGTACTTCAGAGGGATCCACGTCATAAAATATAGGCATAACGATTTGGCCTCTTGTATCCCTACATTTCATAATATGTGCAAGTTCATCCAGACACCAGGAAGAATCGCCATAGTTTTTTGAAAATACGATGACGGCTATCTGTGATTCTTCGATAGCCTTCATAAGGGATGGGTGGATTGATTCTCCTCGGGGAAGTGCTTCGTCATCCTTGTAAGTGTAGATACCTTCTTGTTCAAGAGCAGAGTAGAGATGACCCACAAAAGTATTTCGAGTGTCTTCTCCTCTAAAGCTAAGAAAAACATCGTACTTCCATGACTGAGAACAAAAGACCGGGGCAGAAGGAGGAGATGATGATGATGATGCCATCGATGTGTTAATTTTTTGGGAATGCAAGCAGTTTGAGCACCTCAATGAAAATAACTTTGTACAGAGATATATGAGTTTCCAATAAAACCTATTATCATGTAGGAAAAAATCGTGAGAACTCATAATTGAACAGATTACCATGTAAGAAAACTCATAACTAGTCCTTACATTTTCGTTTTTATTTTTTGGTCATAAAAACTCCTTTGAAAGTATAATACAAGTTGCAATTCTAAAGATAGGCATGAATTGACTTAGGTAACGTGGGTTAGTTTTTCGGTTTTTCCACAATCATATATACTAACTAAAGATTACTCTATATTCTAAAATGAGATTTTTCTTAAAAGAAGTGGAGGAAATATGCCTGCAAAACCAAACTTTAGCAAACTCCCTTTCTGAATAAAAGTAATTTATAAATATAGTATATCATTCCATTCCCTGAAGGAATGAAAAAAAAAACACCCCTCCCCCATGGAATGAAAATCACGAGAGAAGGAATTGCATTCCGTGAAAAATACTCCATTCCTGTGACCTGTCCTTGGTGGAATAAACATGATTTTTTGCATTCCATTATAATGCTCCGTTCCACCCCTCTTCGATTTCTGCATATGAAACACTTACTCGAGTTTTGGAGTTTGAACATTTAGCCACCAAACTACTTGCATTGTACATGACTACATTCTCACCCCAAATTTATTTCACCAGTTATGTTATTTGTCAACTAATTTATACCACGAAATTTCAGCATTTACTCCAAATACATAAATACCATTACTTGATTTAGCTGGAGTGTTTCTTTTTAACTTAACGGACTTAATTCCTAAAATACTTAGTGTTTTAGCTATATATGGTTGTTCTGTTTTTACTTAATGTTAACAAAATGCCCTAGTGGGTTAAGTTAGGCAAAGGGTATACTTAACGTTAAGTCATGATTTTATATTTAATTTTCCTGAATTGCCCTTATTTTCTCCAATGAAAATTACATTGATATCGAAAACCATGAGTAATGAGGTACATTTTTATGCTTATATATTGATTTGTTCACTATTATGTGTAAATGTTATACAAAATTCATGTGCTCACAATTTTTGTTTTTCCATTAATATTATATATGTAAATATTTGTTTGAATTTAATTTTATTATTTGAACTTTTTTAAACTTATGTTCAATTTAAGTTACTAATCATGTTATTTAAAAAAAAATTAAAATTTTAATGTGAAAATATATCGTTTTAATTTATAACGGTTATTAGATAAATGGTCATTTGTTATTTGTCAAATTTAAACATGAGAGTAAAATAGTCATTTATTTAAATTCAGACAATGCTTCTCATGAATCGGATCTTATCATCAACTCACATGTTGGTTCAATTAAATAGCAATATCTACACAAGGTTCGCTTCAATATAAAAATTTTGGTCATGTAAGAATTTATATAGTGAGACAAATTCCCATTTCCCACCATGATTAACCGCTTACATCCCAATTGTTTTCATCAAATATCAATAGGTTTAAAATTATGGAAACATGCCTCAAGGAGAACCGAGGCATAAGCCTCAAGGAGAAATAATAAAATAATTATAAAATATTATAATAAAACCCATAGAAAACAATACAAAATTCCATATCGAGTTTAGAAATCGATAATTAATGCCAATTTCACATAATTCTAAAATATTATAATCTTAATTAAAACATAATAATATTTTAAGTTTTTAACACAGAAGCAGATTAATAAGTAGCAAAAAAGTAGCACTCACTCTGACCACTAGACAGTAACAATAATAGTTTAAAGTTTTAACAAATTATACAAAATAGTGGTAGCAGACTAGCAGTATGAAAAAAAAAATCATAAAAATAGCAAACAACGTATAAAAGAAGAGTGCTTTTGCCTAGAGTATCTTAGTTAATAATTTGTTTTTATTGCACTCAAAGTTCAAATCCCAATGATTCCCTTCTCTTGTGTAAAGAAAGTTGACAACTTTGGTACAAACCAATAATAGTGCCATTACATACCCATCATTTACCTTGTCTACAAACAGCTCTCCTGTTCATGCTAAAGGTACACTACTACACTGTACACACCATGATTCAATTGAAATCGTCTTACATAGTTTCTTAGTTTAACAGACTATTGGTGCCTAGATTTCATTCTCTTTGGATCACAAAAGATATGTTCACATTTATAATTTTGATGTCAACAATTGTCTTAGCTAGTAGTATAATAGGACATATATAGCCTTAAAGATTTCTTCACTATGTCATTATATTATAACTTTCACAATCATACCATCTACTAAAATTCACATGCACTCATAATCATCAGTAGGTATAAGTCCATTCCTGTATCATTGGATAAACATACTTTTCACAATGCTTATGTTTACAAACTTTTGCTTTCTTATGAACACCTTGTATCCGATAACTTGAACTTACATGGAAGTATTGCAGATGATCCTACTTGCTTCAGCCTCCCATGTCCCAACACAATTGGTAATCAGTAAATGACTAGTATCTTGATCCAATTATAAAGTTATGTACTAATTATGAATTTCCCAAGTGTTTGGTGCTTAAATCTAGTAATACTCGAATTCAAATAGTGCCAAGCATAACTTGGATTTGCTCAACAAATAAAAGCACAACCCACCAACTCCCTGTTCGACTTTATTTTGTATCCACAAAACATACGCACATCATTAGACTCATTCTACTCCAAATTCCATTCGTTTATAGCATTCACAACAGCATACTAACTTCACAAATTGTTAATTTGATCATCTAACTACAGTAATTCAAAAACTTCACTACTTCGACTAAACTAGGTCAAAATTCGATTCTCACATTCTGATCGACATATTTGAATTCACTGATAAAGTTTACTCAATAACTTATATAAAACTTCATTAACTCTTCCATTTATTTCTTGGTAATTTATAGCTCATCAATTTACCAGTTTGAGGAATGTACCTCAAATTCACAGCAACACCAATCTTTACCAGACACGCCTTTCTGAGCTGTTTTCTTTGCAAGCTTATACTTCGATTTCCATAGATTTCTTCTTTCAATGTGGATCGATTTGAGTAGGTGGTTACCTTTCCTCAACAGTTGATTTTTTCCTATGAAGTCTTAGGATTGATGAACGAGGGAGTGAAATTATATATAAGAAAGTAACTAAAATCTCATTATATATTTACTCAAGTTGAGAGTTTCATTATTAGCCATCACACTTCTACACAACGTCACCTTCAGACCCTTAATATATCGAGAAAATCACAAAAATACAAAAACTAGATAAAAAAGTTTAACAAAATATTTTATTTACATAAACGACCTCACATTTTGTTATGGTATCATGTATAATCACATTTTGCTATGAATTTCACCTTTTGATGATTCCTTACCATAAAATAAGTAATAATTATGAAAATCATGCATGTTTTCATAAATTGCGAAATATATGATTTTTCATCGAATTTCTTTTTAAAGACATTTTGCGATGCGGAGAATAGTAAAAGTAATTTTTCACAGCAAAAAGTTATATCATAGTGATCTTTATTCCCATCAGCTCTACATCTACTCAAAAAGCATATATTCATAAACAAACAAAATAATCGAGATAGATTGTCACTTTTTAGATGATGCAATTATCGATGGCTTGATAGCTCTAGCTTATGGGTATAAGGTATACTTTCGACTCAAGACGGACACTGGCATTTCGAAGGTGCAATTTATTAACTTTAGACCCTAAAATTAATAATATGTACAAAAAGACCCACTTTAGGATGGTAAAATAAACAAAAGATGAGTTTATACTTAAAAGAAATCTCAATATCGACAAAATCATGAATATTATCAAAAACTTTATTACATACTTATTATATAAAATGATTGACCGATTTCCAAAAGGTTTTGCTTGATTAAAGAAAGGGCACTTTTAAAAATAAAAAATAAAAAATAATACATATACCCTCCTCTTTTTGTCGAACGAAGGGGCAAGGACTCTTAATTAATAAGTTAGAAAAAAACTTTGAGAAAACTTCCTAAATGATCCTTATGCTTTCCAAAAACGGTCATATATTCCTTAAGTTTAAAAAACCTCGTAGATGGTCCTTATGGTTTCAAAACTTTTAACAAAAGGTCCTTACTGCGCACTCCGTCAAATTTTGTCCGTTAGTGGAGGTTATTTCCATCATTTGACTACCACAATGACCATTCATGAAGTTATGTCTTACTCCCTCCATCCTAAAATTATAATTCATCTTTCCTTTTTGGTTTGTCCCAAAATAATAGTCCACTTTTAAAAATAAATAACATTTTTACCAAAATACTCATCATTATTACTTAACCAACTAAGCATTAAATGCAAAGTATGGACAAAACTGTCATTTTATTGTATAAAGTTAGTGGTAATTAATGTTTCCTTAATTTGTATTTGTTTTTTTTTGTCTGTAGACAATAATTTTGGACCGGGGAGAGTATTATATATATATATATATATATATATATATATATATATATATATATATATATATAGAGAGAGAGAGAGAGAGAGAGAGATAGAGATAAGTTCAAATGTTTTTTACAATTATTGTGTGCATGTATGCACCAATCACAAATTAGCAAAATATTAAATCATTTTTAAAATCAATAAGGGTAATTTGGTAAATGGCTTATAAAATCAATTAATTGAATTTAATATACAATCCTATAAACTTGGTAACTTTGTTTGATTTTGAACCTATATTTATGTTAATATATTTATTCAAATCTACGTTTTTGATTTCCATTTAAATTTGTGAAATCAGTTTTAAAACCTATAAACCATCGACGCTTTTCAGTATCTCGCCGCTGCCTCTTATTCCTCCTCCCACTCTACTGTCGGCTCGATCAACCATTGTCGAAATAGCTCCACAGCCGCTGTCGTACACCAACATCTTGGCCCTGGGATGTTTTCAACTCAATTTCTAATTTTAAATTCAATTTTCGATTTTTTCAATCAAATTTTTTTGAAAATAAAATGCTAATCGATTTCTGATCATTCACTTTTTGATGTTTATGAATCGAATTTCTTTTATGTGGGTTTCTTGTAATTTAATGCTAATCGAATTTCTTTTGAGAATAAAATGTTAATCGATTTTTTCAATCGAATTTCTTTTATGTGGGTTTCTTGTAATTTAACTCAAGGTTCAGTGAATTTGATGTGGGTCTGTTAATGTTTATCGGACAAAAAAAATGGAAGAAAAAGGTTCATCGGTAAGATTGGTTCGCTGCCCTAAATGTGAAAATCTTCTTCCTGAGCTTCCTGAGTACTCTGTTTACCAGTGTCGAGGCTGTGGTGCTGTTCTTCGAGGTAATTTTGCAATCTTATACCCCCATTTATATAAATTAAATTACTTTATCTTCATGTTTTGTAATGTGCTTATATATGAATTTTGACTTTTGATGGTCAAATCATTAGCTTTCTAAGTTTTAATTACAAAATGTGTAAGAGCTGTGTCGATTATAGAAAGAAACTTGTTAGTTACATTATTTTTATAGAAACAGATTCATATATTGCTATTACAGTTATATGAAACAGATTAATTTGGAATGCGAAGTATAGAAAAACAATTGAAAGCCTCATAACCTTGTGGTATGCATTCTGTCAGAATTATTAGCAACATATGTTTTATGTAATTGTTTAAAAAGGTAATTAATTTGGAATCTAAAATTATATTAGCAGTAAATACGATACTTTTGAATGTATTGTATGTATTCTGTTAGAATGTATTCTGCCAGAATAAAATCTATGTATTCTGCCAGAATGTATTCTATGTATTCTGTCATATTCTATGTATTCTACCAGAATATATAAAGTGTTAGTTAATTGCAAGTAACATGTTTTTAACCATTATTAGTTTTTGTTGTATTTGTGATAGGAATGTCTGGAAGAATGCGTTGAATACCTAATAGGAATAACTTGAAGAATGAATAAAGTTTGATCATACTCACAATTTAAGAATGTTGTTATTTTTTAAGGATTTTATTCATTTTTGTTGATATTCTATTAAAATATGTATAATTATATTAAAATGTATAAGTTCGGATGTATGAATTTGTATTTAAGTTCGGATGTATAATAATATATTAGAATGTTGTTATTTTTCAACCTCGGATTCAAGAATTTTGTTATTCTTCAATAATATTCTAATAGAATAAAATTCAGAAAGAACATCATTCTAACAAAAAAATATTCTGACAGAATAAAATCGGTTATGTTTACAAATTACGTTAAATTGAAATTGAATTAATTAAAAAAAATCAGATTTTTAAAATTAGGAGAATTAATTATCCCTAAAAATCCGAAAATTTCCTTTTATAAATGTAGTTAATTGTCCAAAATACCCTTTTTCTAAAATTTGTGTGATTATATGGTACATGTTAGCCCATTGTAATATCATACACTCTCAAATCATGTTCATTGATTAATTTCATCCGTTGGTCCAGATCTGTGCATTCTGGCACACAATAGTTAGTAAAAACAAAATAACCTAACCCTATATATATATATATATATATATATATATATATATATATATATATATAGAGAGAGAGAGAGAGAGCTAGGTTCAAATGTTTCTAGCAAATATTGTGTGGGTAAATGCACCAATCAAAATTTAGGAAAAAGGAAATTATTAATTAAATAATAAAGGGTAATTTAGTCATTATGTATGTACAATTAACTATATTCCAAAATTATATTCCCTAAAATAATGGGTCAATTTCCCTTTAATAGCATTTAATCAAGATAATTAGTTTATAAACCCTTAAAAAATCATCGTTCGTTTCATCATCGTCACCATAAAATGCCGACTTCCACCCAAGCCAAAAATCCTTCATCCTAGGGTTTTGTGTTCTTCCCTTTTCGATCCTGGTAAACATCCTCTTCACCGACGACCCTCCACCTGCAGCCACCAATCCCTTCGTTTTTCCGGTGTTGGTCCCCTGCACCGACGATGATGGTGTCGCAACATATGAGGTTAAATCGAATATGTAAACTCGATCTCTACAATCGACGGTAAATTTATTCCCGCTTTGTCCAGACCAGGTTCTAAAATAGATTGTAAAGTCGATTATCAATTTCTAAAATTATTGAAGTGTTTTCTTATGACTATGATTTAATTGGCTAACAAAAAAACATGAATTTTGGTTCTTTTGCGTCGACAGTAACCTAAAACATATAAAAAGGTTTGTTTTTCTTTCTTTTTGGTTCTGCTTAACTTCAACCACAAGTGGGCATCAAAGCAAACAAAGTTGTATTTCTTGGCTAACAAAGTTGTATCGCGTCGACAATAACCTGAAACTATTTGATTTTTTTGATCTATGACAGACGATTTATCAAGAAGAGCGAAGGATCAGTTAAATCTCATTTTAAGATTTTCCAGAATTTCACAAAGTAATTTATCATTTTCAGGTATTATCATTATTATGGTTATATATTTAATCAAATTTTCACCTTAATTTTTCCATAGTATAAGAATTATGCATATACTATAATATATATTGAATATGTCGATTGCAATGACAATGAATTACTAATTTATTTTTTGTTTGAAGAAAAAACTATATGTGTAGTTTTTTTTTTCTTTTTGTTGACATTGTCATTGTCTCTGGTCATACAATTGGCAAGTTTGATATGTTAGACTTATTGGGAAGATTCTGTTAGAATATGTTAAGCTAAACTACATACTATTTTGTTAGAATTATAATAACATGTTTATATTTGTGTTGAAATATTTTGTTTAAAGTAAAGTAGATAATATTCTGTTAGAATTTTTTAAGGAATTGAAGTTTAAGCAACAAACAGAAATGAAATATTCTTTTAGAATTGAAGTTAATATGTGTAGTTATGTTATTTTGGTGTATTCAAACCTGCAAATTCTTTCAGAATGAGAAAACACAATATTCTTTTAGAATGAGGTTAGTAACACTCATTGATTTGATGCCTATTATTCTGACAAACATGGTAAATGACAGTGTAAGAATTGATTGAAAACCTTTCAGCAAAGCATCATGAAGCAATGAATACATTCTATGAGCATTCTTTCAAGAGCATTCTCATAGAATATCATTGTTGTAAGAATGGTTTGCTAAATTTTACTATTTTTTCTATTGTACAAAAATTTCAAGATTATTAAGTTGCAAATTGTTGGTTTGTTAAGTTTTATCATCTAGAAATACGATTGCAAGTTGCAAGTAACAAGTTTTTAATTCTTTATAGTGGCAATTAAACTAGCTAAAATGTATTCTATGTATTCTGTTAGAATGTATTCTATATATTCTGCTAGAATGTATTCTATGTATTCTGTCAGAATATATAAAGTGATAACATGTTCTTAACCGTTCTTAGTTTTTGTTGTATTTGTGATAGGATGACTGGAAGAATGTGTTGAAGACCTGATAGGAATAACTTGAAGAATGCATAATAGATTGATCACTCTCAAAGTTAAAGAATGCTGTTATTTTTTAAGAATTTTATTCATTTTTGTTGATATTCTTTTAGAATATGTATAATTATATTAAATGTATAAGACTATTAGTTTGTAAGAATATGTATGTATTTGTATTTAAGTTCGGATATATATGAATATATTAGAATGTTGTTATTCTTCAATTGGAGATTCAAGAATCTGTGATTATACAATAATATTCTAATAGAATAAAATTATGAAAGAACATCATTATAACAAAAAACATTCTGACGGAATAAAATCGGTTATTTTTACAAATTACGTTAGAATTAAAATTGAATTAATTTAAAAATTCAGATTTTTAAAATTAGGAGAATTAAGTATCCCTAAAAATTCGAAATTTCCTTTTTAAAATATAGTTAATTGTCCAAAGTACCCTTATGTTGAAATTTGTGTGATTATATGGTGTATGTTACCCTATTGTAATATCATAGACTCTCAAATCTTGAACTTAGATTCTATTTCATCCGATGGTCCAGATCTATGCATTCTGACACACAATAGTTAGTAAAAACAAAATACCCTAAGCCTATATATATATATATATATATATATATATATATATATATATATATATATATATATATAAAGGGTCTATCTCTCTCTCTCACACAAACACACTCTCCAGATCATCAGCCTTCATGCCTTCTACCTTATGCCTTCATCTGCACGAGTCAAAACACAAAACCATCCGAGCTTCCTTCCATCCCTCATACACTACTATGTATCAATCTATCAATCGGATTCCAACGCTCTTTCACATAGATCCAAACATCTCCTCTCCATTCCTTCTCACACCTTACTCATCGTCATTCTCAATTAGGGGTGTGCAAAAACACTGCAAACTCGGAAAAAACGAGCTGATCCGACCAATCCAAAACCGAAAAAATTGAAACCAAAATAAACCGAAATAGAAAAAAAACCAAAACCGAAAAAACTGACTATCTACTGATCGGTTTCGGTTTGAATATTTCGGTATTTGCGGATGCCCAAACCGAACCGTTTATATATATATATATATATATATATATATATATATATATATATATATATATATATATGGGAAAAGTGAATATACCCTTAAAGGTATATAAGCTTAGGTACCCAAACACACCATAATAAGTCGTTTTGTTTGATATATTTATTATAATGTTCTAAAACTTCAACCCTAACTTGATTTACTTTCAAGATTTTCAAAATTTCACTATTATCTTTCTCTTACATCACATCTTTTTGCCGAACACCTACTAGGCTATATATATTATAGTTGAAAATGAAAATTATGTAAGAGGAAGATAAATGTGTAATTTATAAAAATCATGAAAGTAAATCAGGTTAGAAGTTAAATTATATATATATATATATATATATATATATGGTTAGGTTATCTTGTTTTTACTAACTATTGTGTGCCAGAATGCACAGATCTGGACCAACGGATGGAATTAATCAATGGACATGATTTGAGAGTGCATGATATTATAGTGGGATAGCATGTACCATATAATCACACAAATTTTAGCAAAAGGGTATTTTGGACAATTAACTACAATTATAAAAGGAAATTTTCGGATTTTTATGGATAATGAATTCTCATAATTTTAAATATGTGAATTTTTTTAATTAATTCAATTTTAATTCTAGCGTAATTTGTAAATATAACCGATTTTATTCTGTCAGAATATTTTTTTTGTTAGAATGATGCTCTTTCAGAATTCTATTCTATTAGAATATTATTGAAGAATAACAGAATTCTTGAATCCGTGGTTGAAAAATAACAACATTCTAATATATTCTTATACATCCAAACTTAAATACAAATTCATACATATATTCTTACAGACTAAAAGTCTTATACCTTTTAATATAATTATATATATTCTAAAAGAATATCAACAAAAATGAATAAAATTCTTAAAAAATAACAACATTCTTAAATTGTGAGTATGATCAAACTTTATTCATTCTTCAAGTTATTACTATTAGGTCTTCAACGCATTCTTCCAGCAATTCATATCATAAATACAACAAAAACTAATAATGGTTAAAAACATGTTACTTGCAATTAACTATCACTTTATATATTCTGGTAGAATACATAGAATATGACAGAATACATATAATACATTCTGGCAGAATACATCTATTAGAATGTAACAGTGAAATTCTATTAGAATGCACACTTATCAACTAAAATTCTATTATAATGCAACAGTAAAATTCTATTATTATGCAACAATAAAATTCTATTAGAATGCAACAATAGAATTCTATTAGAATGCATTATCAACATATAAATGCTAAAATTTTATCAGAATAAACCAAATTGTTTGTAAATGAAACTGTTGAAGGTGTTTACATTAATAAAATCTATAATGCCCATATGAATTAAACAATCAGGAACGAGAATGTGATACACTAAATTATGTGCATAAGAGTAACATAATAGAAGAAAAAGGAACAAACACAACAATTAATCCAAATATAACTTACTGATTATTAGACAAACTATTTAATCCAATTTCATCCAACGAATTATGAAATATATACAAATGAAGTTGGCGAAATTTTAAACAATGAAAAAACTCACAAAAGTAAGAAACAGATGAAGTTGGATTAATTTCATCCAACGAATTGCACATAGACACAGATGAAGTTGGCGAAATTTTAAACAATGAAAAAGCTCACAAAAGTTCTCATCTTCTCGGCAGCAACAAGTGGAAAAACCCTAGAAATTTCGCAGCTAGTGGTTCTCCGATTCATAAAGCTGGCGGTTCGACGGTGGTGTGGGGTGGTGCTGCTGTTCTAGTGGTGTCGAAATAAGAAGAGGAGAAAGTTTTCGGGGCCTGTGAACAGAGAACAAAATGATGGTGGTGGTGCACGATGATTTTAAGAGAAACAGGGAGAGTCGACTTTGGGCTAGGGTTAGAAGAGGAAGATGTCGAATAAAGGGATCTGTTTTGTGATTTTGTAGTGTTTATTAACAGAATTTCCATATTTAAAGGGTATTAATGATTTTAATTATTTACCATATTTATCATAATTAAGATTACTATTATACCCTTTTATGATTTATTATTGAATTTATTTTTTCTTAATTCTAATTGGTTGTTGGAAGCACACAATACTTGTTGGAAACATTTGAACCTATCTCTCTCTCTCTCTCTATATATATATATATATATATATATATATATATATATATAATATTATTCAAATATTATTTTCATTGATTTTGAATGATTATTTCAAGAGTGAAGGATCCATGCAAAAAATAAATAAATAAATAGATAGTATTGTTGTTATAGTCACAAAACATAATAAAATATTAAAGTTATTGTATGTAATTTTTTAGTCCATGTATGTAATTTATTTGCATGGATAGGTTGATTGACAAAGAAAAAAACGTATCTCAAGAAGCATGATAGGGCCATAAGCAATTCCCAATTTGCACTTCTATATTAGAATCATGTTTTATTGTTGTTTTTATTATTATATAATATACTAATTTTGAACTCCTTACTACTTCTTAGGCAACAGTTCTTTGCTGTGATTGGGTGATTTTTTTTTCCTTTTCTTTTTTGCTTTGTTTTTGTTATTTACCTGTTTTTATCTTCTATAATGGATTACACATACTCTCTTTTTATCGGACCAAACTCAATTTTAATTTTTTTTACCTGCTCATTCCCACCGACTCCAATTCCAATGGCACCGGCTGTCTAAGCCAATAGGAATTGGATTGCTGTCCACTGCTTTTTCTTTGCCTTATTACTCCACCGCCAGACGTAACACTTTTAGTTCCCAATCCTTCCATCCTCTAATCGATGCCTCCACCGCTTGCTTCCTCCTCCACCTTCTCTCTTTAATCGCTGTGTATGGCGGCTACCACCAGAAGATTTATGGCGACTTCACTTGATTCTGGCGACTTTCCTTCTTCATAACAGGTTAGTAATTCATCAACTTCTTCGATTTTAAGTTATATACAAGTTTTTATGTTGGTTTTTATTCCAGCTTATCCAATTGCATCTGGAATCAATGATGGACAATAGAGATACACCAAGTTCGATTCGTCGTCCCCTGCTTGGATTCCGACGACTTCGATTGATTCCGTGCTCAACAGGTACTGAAACCATGTGATTGTGTTGTGTCGCCTTGATTTATGGTGTTTTTCGGTAGCAATTGGGTCCGTAAGCTGTGGTTGAAATTTTTTTTTTTAAATTTGTGTGATTTAGGGCAGTAAATATGAAATGAATAGGGGATGTTTTCCTGTCCAGTTGATCCTCTTTTGTATCAGAGTTCTTACCGGTTAATTGCACTTTGTTGTAGTTTGGTATGGATGAAGTTATGGCTGCCACCCACCAGGTATTCGATGAAATGCCTACGTCCTTAATTTGTTTTGTTTATAATTACTTCGTTTTGGTTGCTTACTGAATCTCTTTTTCCTGTTTCAGAAAAGTCAACCTAGGATGGGCTTCATGCAAAATTAAGAAGATTTAAGTGGCCACACAAGGTTGTTGTCGATGATGTTAATGTGTCTTCTCAGCCCTCCACTCCTCTATTTGGATTTGGGTTCTGGTAACAATACTATTTCACACGGCTTTGTTTTTTTAATTTTTGGATTTTTTTTTTCAAAAATTGTTGATTTTATATGTATATATCTACATATGTAGGCTACTAGAGAGGGATGGAATAAGCTATAGTGATGAAGAGGATGGTAAGATAATGAGCATTAGGGTGGATGTCGTTAATCCAGGCTAAGAGGGTGTTTCAGGTGATTAACCTTTTTTTTTTTTTTTTTTTTTTTTTTTTTTTGCATAAAATGAGATTTGATTTGAGAAAGAAAGAATGAATTATCCCACTTAAGTTTATAGTCTAAACCTTTACCCAAAAGTAAGATGAATATCAATAAACTAATAATATTATAATTTATATAATATAATTATTTAGTATATATAACTATATTTTTGAAGGTTGGTTTCCGAGGTAAAACCGTATCAAGCCGACTTGGTTCGGTTTTTCCCAATTTAAAAACCACACCATTGTTTTATGTATCGGTATGCAAAGATTCAGCAGTTTAATAGGGTGTATATGTATATGATTCTTGAGAATTGCCTTTCCAATCAAACAGGTATGTCTTTCTTCTTTCTGAAGTCTTTTCGTTTATGATCTACCCTAAAATGTATGAACTACAATAAGTATGAGCGATCGGATCCCAGTTTGTATGATTCCTTTATATTTGTTTCTAATTTTGATTCCTTTATATGGATCTTACTACAAAAAGGGGCATATGTGCAGGATACCAAATCAAGGCTTCGTCAAAATATGGACCATGGAGAACGGTAAATGCTCCATTCCTATCACTTAATACAAGAAATAGCAACCTACTTCATGACTGGATAGTTCATATCAGTCGAATAAATTGGTAAAATGTTGTCATTTTTGTGTATTGTGATGTCTTCACATGCTATTCCACATGATGTAGCTTTGGTTAGATAGTATCTTTCGTAGGCAATTGTTTATTTGTAGGACCACCATATTTGTGTTGTTGTCAAATTCTGAATATTTCCATGATTAGGGTAAATGCAATAAATAATAGTTTATATGGTAAGCTACATGTATTTTTTTATGAATCTGCATGAACTTCAGCATGAAGAAACATTCAAATATAGTTCCTCTATTCATGTCAATATTGAAAATGTGACCATACAGTAGATTAAAAAATATCTTGCAGGCATGCACCAGTAAAAATGAAACATTGAGCAATTTCCATATCTATAAGGCTCTGGCTGAACCTTAGGATGGAATTGGAGCAACAAAGGAATGATTTGATCAATTGTGGCAATGGCTATAGGAGGATTTAAGGGATGAATTTACTAGGCTCTTTAAAGCTAATATGTCGCAATCTCTTTCCAACCTGGAAACCCAAAAAGATTGGATTGAAAGTAACAGCATCTGTTCTTCTTTCTCTAATCCAAAAAAGATACTTTTGGATGATGTTACTTTTCAAAAGATAGGTCTACATGGAATTTGCATTTATGGTTGATGTTGTATGTGTAAAAATTAACTTAGAAAAGGACGTTGGCATTTGATATTGATGTATACATGGTAGTATTTGGATATGATGAAAAATTAGAGGACTGAAGTTGAATAAGAACTGGTAGGTTGGGTTTCTCTATCTAAAGTTGCATCCATCTCAGTTTCATTTCCATTTATATGGTCCTTGAAACAGTAAAGAAAACTAGAAGTTTTGACAGGATTTGCATTGCGGGTAAAATCAGTGAAAATGATGCAAGTTTCTTTACAAAGCATTCCTGTTTTTTCCAATTATTTGGCGTTTCCAGCCCCGCAAAGCGGGGTTCTTCCCTAGTTTATAATTATTATACAAGTTATAATGAATGTTATTTGACCGTCACCATGTTTTTTGAGTTTATGATTTATTTATTTTTAGAAAGAAATGTTTGAAATATAGTTTCTAGTGTTGATTGGATTTGACATTTATATTTAGCGGGTACAGGTGAACCAAACCATGGTTATCTGTCTACTCCGGTTCGGTTCGGTTCGGTTTTTTTTGCCAATTCGGTTTGATTTCGGGTAGTGACGTAGTGCACATGAGATACCCACCCCATGGTCATGGTTCACAATTTTATTACTATATGAGCCGAACCGATCCATGAACACCCCTATTCTTAATCACCCCATTTCACTCCGACATGGGTCTCTCTCGTTATTGAGTTTTTGTGTTTCATTCACTGTGGATGGGTTTTTATATTGTAATTAGGGATCGCAAGATTAGATGATATATATTGGATTGTGAAGCTTTATGTCTGGAAACAGTTATGGGGTGCATGTGCTTGAAAGGAATTTCAGAAAATGAGTATGCAGAGAAAGAATCAAAAAGATCATCTAAATGTTTCCTCTGTTATTCAAGAAGGGATGAAGCTACTGCTAGCCTTATTTCAGAGGGTAACAGAGAAAACACAGCAAGTTCAGGGTAAACAACCATGGGAATGATGGGATGAAGGGGAGAGAAAGAATAGAAGAGTAGACTCATTTGAGAAATTAGACCCATTAATAGCATACTTATTTGATAAATTAGACTCATTAATAGCTCTTGATGAATCTTTACAAGCTTTTTTTGAAAGTTTTTCTTGTAGCGCCTTGCTTGAGCCCTTTCCCTATCACAATTTCTCTAGGTTATATTCTCTATCATCGGTTGTTGCCAACGTAATGGAAGGAAGTAGGACGGACATGGATGAGGATGACGACATCATCGAGGTGCATGTACCGGTGGACAACCCACTTTGTATTTTCTTTTTTTCTTTTTCTTTTTTTAAAATACAACACAACTTCATAAATAGTCCTTGTGGTAGGAAATGACGTAATGCCCTTTAGTTAACGGACAAAACTTGACGGAGTGAGCAATAAGGACCTTTTGTTAAAAGTTTTTAAACCACATAGACCATCTACGAGGTTTTTTGAACTTAAGGATTATATTGTACAAGGACAATTTATGAAGTTTTCTCAAAAACTTTTAATCTGACATATGATTGGGATTAAACACCTAACCAAGTTAGGAGTTGGATTGTAACACATTTGGTTTTTCAAAATGAAAGGGGATCTATTATGCTTATAAATATATACCATTCTATTTATTAATAAAAAAGCTTTTTTGTATACAGTGGAAATGAATCAAAATACTTAACAACGAGATAGATACCACTGATCGAGCACGCTTACCAATTGCTCTTTGTAATGATTACTTGGTAACTTATCAAAACATGTCTATATATACATAACAATACTTTGGCTATTATTGGCCTCAAGGTTATTGCGGATCCTGTGCGGTATGGGGTGATCACTTGGACCAAATTAGAATCTTTTTAGGGGAAATGAATGGATCGATAACCAGATCGTTAAGCATATATTGGTGCCAGTTTTTGTATTTAGATTTTTGGATCGATGGGTCCGATTATGGTATTCTGACTTTTGGACTTGTTAGAACTGTTTCATCTTTAAAACATTAGTTGTCTTCTTAGGTTGATGAAGGATATGAAGTTGACATAGATATATAAATTGTTAGAGATATGACGTCTTGTTTTGACACCGACCTATGGGTTTCCAATAATTTGAGATACAAAGGATCGACTGCATTATTATCATATGCGAGTTCATTAGATGAACTCCTATCGACGGAAGTTTTGTTTGTAGTGGAATGATCACTTGTAACTTCTTTTTGATCATTTAGACCTTCTAACGATTTAATATTTACATGAGAGACACTTGGATATATAATGGAGACAATGGGATAAATGTATACAAGATTAAGACCATTAGAGGAGAAAGTCGTTTGAATTAGTTCATCATATTTACTGCATTTAAGATCAGAAGCAGAGGCTTTTGGAATTGATAATTCATTGAACTTCACATGAATTGATTCTTCAACAATCTTTCTTTGTTATAAGAACAACCTGAAAAACATTTGAGTTTAGAAAGTAAGAACAAAGCTTAGTGAGTCCCCCAAAATATCACATATACTATTGTAACAACTATGCATGTCTATATGACATACAACGATCTGTTTCGATCATGGCATAACTCCATTACGACATATCCAAACAGACATGTAGGCTCAAGGAACAACATCGGTGTCGTCGTCATCCAAATTGACGTGTAGGCTCACGACACGGGCAAAACAAACAGTCAAGACTCCACTATTCTAACTAAGCATATAATCATGTCATAGCATTACACATGCATCCTACACAATGAATCTAATAATGACATAAATAATATAGTGAGAAAAACTCATATGAATCTAGCACCCAAGTCTCTCATGTAAGAATCCACAAAGGAATCAGCTAGTACGAACCACCTAATAATAAGTCGTCTAATGTCACACCCCCAAACCAGAACGACGGAAACGTTCGGGGGCGGAGGACGTCATGTAAGTATCACAACACATGCAATATAGTAATCAAAGTACAAACAACCATTGCATTAATAAGTATAAGTTTTACATAAGTGTTTAAACATTACATATTCAAACATCAAAGTAGATACAGTAGAAGACAAGAGTCGCAGTACGGTACAAGGTAGTCTTCTCAAAAGCTTAAGGAGTGTACCTGTCTACTGGATTTCCTGAGAATACAAATTATTTTGAAAGAGTAGATCAACATTTAAGCTGGTGAGTTCATAAGTATTTTAGTTATATAAAGTATACTCTAAGTTCTTAGAAAAGTTCGCTGGTTCCTCCAGAAAATCCTATATTTCCTGATGTGATAAATGATAACCTCAATAGTTCCCTCTGCAATTACTTAGTTTATACTAGTTATATATAACCTAATATCGAATGGACAGTTAAATGGGTGAATCTGTCCTAAGCCCACAACCAAACAAGGAATAGGAAGTAAGGCGGAAGTCACACATTTCACAGGCAATCGGATATTACTTATATATAACTCTGATGTATAAACTAAGGAATTATAGAATTAGCCACTAAAGGTCATTTATGTTATACTAGTTTAAAGAGAGTGAATGACTAAGTTCCATCTGGTAAGTAGTTTTAAATCCCCATAAAACCGTTTCTGAATAGTAGTTTTAAATCCCCATAAAACCGTTCCATTTGTAAAAGTATTCTTAGTTATATCCGTTCTACAGTAAAACATTGATATTAATCCTGGAAAATATTATATTTTCCATAATACCGATTTGTGGTTTTAAACGTTCCAAAACCAAAAGTACAAGTATATTTGCCATACTTGATTTCATGATACGTAGTTTTTACCATAAGTAACACTAACAGAAGGTATATTTGGTCAGTAAAAATAGATAGGATGTAATTATCTTTTCTTACTGTTTTAAAAGAAGTATATTACTACATAAATTAGTCGTTGTTTTCTCTATGTGAGTTCTATTAACCATACTAATAAGACTGATGTGCCTGATGCGACGTTCTTCAGGCGTCGGAAACGATATGACATTTGTCACCCTAGGCCTGCCGGCCAAACTGTAGCGAACAGTTAAGGTGCGGGATTGTCAGTCCCGTATAGATCTATACACAAATTCATGCTCTCCCTCCAGGAGATTCTGGTTAATAAGTCAGGACTTAAGGTCGTACTTAGATAAGTACACCATGAAGTGTCTCACAAATTTATTGTTTCAACGAGATTACGAGTAATACAGTGGAAAAAGCCTTTTAACAGTAATGATGAAACTTTTCCATATATAAGTTTAAAATGATTGATATTGAGAATTGACCCATAAATTATACCTATTATAATTTATATGTTCTATCTGATTAGCATGATTTCTCACGGATGAACACCTTTGTTCAGCATGATACAAAGGTAATGATACCGAATGAAGTAACCTTTTATATTCATATATTTATAATATATATATATATATATATATATATATATATATATATATATATATATATATATAATTAAGAAGGAAACGACATTCGGACAAATAACACCACCTTAATTCCATATCCAAACAAGGAAAAGGAAATAAGATAATTCATTAGTCATAAGCCCTTCAAATCTTATTTATACATATATAAACATGATTTTGGCAATTATAAGTTTAAAGAGTTATAAAAACATTTAAAATAGTTTAATGTTATTCTAGAAAAATTTATATGACTTCAATTTATTCTGGAAACAATTGATAATCCTTTATTTTAAAGTCCATATTTAAAAGCATAAGAAGAACCTTTATGTGATTGATATCACATGAATTATTAACACAATATGATTGTGTTCAACTTGTATTCCCCCCCTTATAAAGCATTTAAAACCATTTAAAAATGTATATTATAGGGGTATGAACTCACCTGATAGGTGGTGATTTGGGCAGCGCTTCGTTTCTATAAATGATCTTTCTCGAAGAAACCGCGAGTTTTTGATTAAAAACCGGGCTTTACTAGCTTCTCGAGAATTTCGGGGCTTCGGGGCTTGCTTCGGGTTTTAGATATGATACCGGGGCTTTAGGGGGTTGTAAGAAAGTTTAGGGAGGTGAAAGAAGTGAAAAAGGATGAAAAATGGTGTAAAAATGGTGAAGGAACCGGAGAGTCTCGCACCCTTTATATAGGGGCGAGGGTTCGGCCGAGGAGATGAGTCACCAGGACACGCGACATCAGCAGCGAAGGCCACGAGGCCGAAG